TATGTGAGTGAATGTGACAGATCACCAGGAAAATGGTTGCCCCGATTGAGATGAGAAGCTCTAGCGCTTTATTGATCGCACCCTGATAATTCTGTGGATCCCTTTCGCATTTTGCATCATCTTTTGTCGCATGTAGCTGGAATCCAATCATATCACGAGCAAGCCTAATCTTTTTGCTATATAATGCATGAAAAATTAAGAATCAAATTTACTTCTGATACAACAAAATTTTTTGTACCTAGTCGCTCCGACGACCAGAATATCCCACACGTCGATGTCAGGTTATCTTTAATGCTGATATTGCGCAACCTTTCATGATCGGTGTTTGTTAATGTTGTCCATGATCTTGCATTTAAATATGAACCTTATGCGATAAAAGTCACGTATAGATTGATAGTGACTGAATTCTCCATCTGACTTAAAAGTGCCGTAGTGGCACAGTTTAGAAAGATAAATTTAGATCAATGTACGTGTGACGCTTTTATATCCTGTCTTTCTTTCAAGCGAAACAATCGGGACCGGTTACACAAGGGTCTACCAAAGCACCTGGATCAAGTAAGACGAATCTTTATGTTTCTGACTGAGAGAGTTTTGTATCTCGATGTTCGTTGTTATAAGTTTTTTTTATTCAGCGAGGATAGTTAGTTATACCCATTACCGTTAGCGGTGTAGGATGAGAATCGTAAGAAAACTACTAAGAACACAAAGGGGAAAGCAGATGTATTTACCGTTATTGTCGCTAATGAATACTTCTGTAACTTTTCGCTGTACTACTTTGTGAGATGCTGCCAAATCCTTCCCTCTAGGTTCGACCGCACGTTGTTTCTACTTAAAATAATCTCTTATATTTGGATGAATAGGTCTAGTTTGAGTATTCTGCTTGATCAGCTCGCGTCATTGGTCTCTGCCGAGAGTTTGTCTTCTCTTGTGGAAAATATTCAGAGTTTGTATATCATTTTGAATGTTATCTTCCCATCTCTTCCTTATACCAATATTTCGAGGCCGTTTCTCTTCAGCAAAGCATGAAAACATAATCTTTTTCACTATCGATGGCTTCACCATCACTGTTCAGCATTCGATTAGCATGTCCAAATCATCTCAATCTGTTCCTACGCAACGAGGATAGAAGTGTAAAGTATGAGAGAGAATGGGATAGATCACCACGAAAATGGTTTCCTCGATGGAGATCAGAGACGGTAGTACTTTATTGACCGTACCTGGATCATGCTGTGGCTTAGAAAAACAATTTTATCCACTTTTTTTGGATAAGCTTTCGAAAAAGGTTGGATCGATTACAGCCAATTGGCCGATCCGTTACCTATTTGTTGATCTGGTTACAACTCTACTACAATAAGTCGCGTCCAAAAACCAGTAAGTAGTCTCTTATTATATTTTCCTTGTTCCGTTTAGCTATCAAAGCTGGAGGTCTTTGCACTGACACATATGGTACTCCAACATTTTTGGAAAGTTTTGGTGCAGGAAACTCTGAATATTCTTCAGCAACACCCGCTAGTTTGGGTTTTACTACTACTTACACGGACAAAGGTAGGCCTACACCCGACGGCTCGTTCACCATCGTCAATGATGTTCCTCACGATTATAACACTTGGATAAATGGTACCGATCACACTGGTAATGCGGGAGGCTATATGATGTTGGTTAATGCTGCTGGTACTCCTGGTGAAGTTTTCAGACGTACCATCAGTGGTTTAACTCCTGGAATCCGCTATCAGTTTTCGGCTTTTATATCCAATATAAATTACGGATATAATCAAATAAAACCTAACATCAACTTTAACATTGTAACCGCTACAAATGATACAGTGGCAAGCATGTCCTCTGGCGATATAAATGAGACCCAGACTCTTCAGTGGAAGAAAGTCGGTATGTCGTTTGTGTCACCTTTGACGACCCTTACATTGGTTATGGTCACAAATGCTCCTGGTGGTAGTGGAAATGATTTTGTTGTTGATGATATATCACTAGCTCCATGCATTCAGAGCACATAAGGACGGGGTACCCTTTAACCCGCTAAGAGATATTGAATATTGTTATCATTATGCTTAGAATTGCTTCAAACCCCAGGACATTGAAGGGTTTTCTCGACTATTACAATGCTGCTGAACTAAAATGTACTGTTTGAAGAGGCATACGGAAGTTGTTCTTGGACTTTTCGTATCTTAAAATAAATCACATCATAATTTATTTCACTAACATCAATTCTGTTGTAAAACTCGTAATCGACTTCTTAGACTTTCAGAGTTCTTAAACTTTTAGACTTCCTAGACGTCTTAGAAACCCATCTTTCTTTAACGACAGGTTACGAGAGAGTATGGCACCGGTGATTGCGGTTGGTGGATGCACCGGGCATTTGGTCTTATACTGCGGGTTACCGAATTGCGGCAGAACAAAAGCAAGCGAGTATTTTTATGGAAACCATAGGATTTACAGTATGGCCCGCCCTCCTGTCGTTTTCCTCGTATACTACACTAAACGAAGAGGACTATGTGAGTGTGGAATGTTCTCCAATAACGAATTCCCATCAAATGCTTTCACCTTCGACTTTGATTTAAAACCACCATTTACAAAGGCGAAAAGTCTGAAAAGTCTAAGAAGTCGAAAGGTCTCAAAGTCGAAAAAGTATAAGAAGTCTAAAAGCCTAAATGTCTACGAAGTCGAAAAGTCGAAAAACCTAAGAAGTGTAAGAACTCTAATGCCCCTAATAAGCCCAAAAGTCTAATAACTCTAAAAGTCTAAGAAGTCAAAAAGTGTAAATGTCTAAGACCTCTAAAAGTCTAAGAAGTCAAAAAGTGTAAATGTCTAAGACCTCTAGCAAGTCTAAGAAGTCTAGAAGTCCAAGAAGTGTACGAAGTCTAAAAGTCTAAGATGTCTAAGAAGTGTAGAAAGTCTAAAAGTCTAATAACTCCAAGGACTGTAGGAAGTCTAAAAGTCTAAGAAGTTTAAAAGTCTAAAAGCCTCAGAAGCATTACAGGTCTAAGAAGTCTGAGAAGTCTAAGAGGTCCAAAAGTCTAAGAACTCTAAGAAGTCTAAAACTCTAAATGTCTAAGAAGTATAAGAAGTCTAACAAGTCTAAAAGTCGAACAAGTCTAACTGTCTAAGAAAATTAAAGGTCTAAAAGCCTCAGAAGCATAACAAGTCCAAAAGTCTAAGAAGTCTGAGAACTGTAAAAGTCTAAGAAGTCTAAATGTCTAAGACGTCTAAGAAGTATAAACGTCTAAGGACTGCAAGAAGTATTAAAGTCTAGGATATTTAAGAAGTCAAAAAACCTAACACTCCAAGAAGTCTAAGAAGTCTAACAGTTTAAAAGTCTAACAAGTATAAGAAGTCTAAAAGTCTAAGAAGTCTAACAGTCTAAGAAGTTTATAAGTCTAAAAGGCCAAGAAGTATAAGCCGTCTAAAAGTCTAAGAAGTCCAAGAAGTCTATGAAGTCTGAGAAGTCTAAGAGGTCCAAAAGTCTAAGAAGTCTACGAAGTCCAAAAGTCTAAGAAGTGTAATAAGTCTGAACGTCTAAGAAGTATAAGCAGTCTACAAGTCTAAGAAGTATAAGAAGCCCAAATGTGTAAGACTAAAAGTCTAAGGACTGCAAGAATTATTAAAGTCTAGGATGTTTAAGAAGTCTAAGAAGGCAAAAAAGTCTATGGACTGGAAGAAGCCTGAAAGTCTAAGAGCGGTAAGAAGTCTAAAAGACTAAATATCTAGGAGGTCTAAGAAGTCTAAGAAGTGTAACAGTCAAAAAGTCTTAATGTCTAACAAGTCCAAGAACTCTAAGAAGTCCAAGAAGTCTAAAAGTCTAAGAAATCTAAATGTCTAAGAAGTCTAACAAGTCTAAAAGTCTAAGCACTATAAGAAGTCTAAAAGTCCGAGTAGTCTAAGAAGTATTATAGCTCAAACAGTCTAAGAAACCTAGAAGTCTAAGAAGTCCAAACGTCTAAATGTTTAACAAGTCTAAGAAGTCTGAGAAGCCTGAGACGTCTAAGAGGTCCAAAGATCTAAGAAGTCTAAATGTCTAAGCAGTCTAAGAAGTCTAGAAAATCTAGATGTGTAAGAAGCCTAAATTCCGAAACGTCGAAGAAGTATAAAAGTCTAAAAGTTAAAGAAGTCTAAGAAGTATAACAAGTCTAAAAGTCTAAGAAGTATAAGAGGTGCAAAAGTCTAAGAAGTCTAAGAGGTAGAAAAAAAAAAGAAGTCTGAGGACTCTAAAAGGTCTAAAAGCCTAAGGAGTCTAAAAGTCTAAAAGTCTAGGTAGTTTAGGAAGTCTAAAAGCCTAACACTCCAAGAAGTCTAAGAAGTGTAACAGTCTACAAGTTAGTCCAAAAATTCCAAAAGCCTAAGAAGTCTAAGAAGTCTAAAAATCTATGAACGTCGATTAATTATCGGGTTTAAGAGCTCCTCATATCGTGATCAATATCGTCAAAATTTATCTGAAGATTATTTCAAATTATTTCAAGTGTTATAGTTTCAATTATTAGCTCGTAAATTTGAC